TCAGCTGTAGGACACCCCTCTGATTCCCAGTGACTACTGCAGACCTGGAGACCTCAGCTCATTCACCTCTTTCCTTTGTCTCCACAGCATACCCAGTGCTGGGACCAGACGTGACCGAGAACGCTGGCGCCTCCATGCCAGTGTTCACGGCTCTGCCCTTCGCCACACCTGCTCCCGGCCCAGCACACGGGCCGCCCCTCATGACTGCAGTGGTTCCTCCAGGTGGCCCTCCGGTGCTGTCTGCCTTCCCCAGGACCCCTCTGGTGGCAGGACAGGATGGCCGAGGCCCAAATTGGGTTGGGGCTTCCAACATCCTTGTCCAGATGAGGACAGAAGTGGGGCCTGTGAAGGCCCCTCAGGCACAGACCTTGGTCCTAACTCAGGTACCCCTCGTCTGGCAGGCTCCAGGTGCCGTCTGTGAGGGCGTGGCATGTCCACCTCCCCGGCCCCTGGCAGCTGCCCCTGTGGTGCCCGCTATGGCTGCCCAGGTCGTTGGGGGCACCGAGGCCTGTAAGGGAGGCTGGTCCCAGGGCCTTCCTCCTCCAGCACCACCAGCGGCTCCCCAGCCAGCCCTCATGATGGCCCCAGGAAATGCTTGTCCATGGCCACAAGGGGCTCATAGAGAGGGCAACCTGGCTCCCTCCCAGGCCAAGAATCCCGCACACGACTCCTGCAACCCCAAGAGCGTGTATGAGAACTTCCGACTCTGGCAGCACTACAAGCCCTTGGCTCAGAGGCACCTTCCCCAGAGTCCAGACATGGAAGCACTTTCCTGCTTCTTCATGTGAGTGTCCTCGCGGCACCGGAGCTAGTCCTGCAGCTCACCCGTAAAGAGGCTGCTCGATGGACGGGAGGTCACGCTGTTCAGAGGACCATGCAGAGCAGTCTTGAAAGCAATGGGTTGAACTATGGGAAGGCACATTTTCAGCAACATTAATCTGGCTATCGCTTAGGACAGACTCTCAGGGGCCTCATGTCACTTGCCCCTCACTGTCCCGTGAGTGCAGCCAATCCTTACTTTCAATCATTTTCACGACAATGTTTACAGAAGACCCAGGTCAGAGAGGGTTCCTGGTCTGACAGGAACCACGGGTTGGGTTTAGGACTTGAGTGCGCCCCAGTGCCTCCCCTTGACCTCAGTGGCGAAGGCCAGGGGCACAGCACATGGGCTGGGGGTGGGAGCTGCAGGAACCTGGCACACGCCCACTGTTCTGCCGAGGTCCAGCTGGCACAGCGGTGGTGGAACCTGCACAGGGGATGGTCTCGAGCCCCGAACTAGGGTCCATGCTGGGCAGGTATTTGCAGCTTCGCCCTTGAACCCTTCTAGAAAAAGGGACGACGATGCTTCATTCAGAGGATGGTGAAGAGGTGACTTGAGCTCACATATGACACACGCAGCACAGTGTCTGGCACATGCTGTGGCACATTACATGATAGCACTTATGATTACTGTCCCTATTACTATCATTATCAGGACTAGGCCATCTTGCACAGTGCTCCCCAAAGCCACAGGCTCCAGTGATGGCTCTGAGTGCACCACGAGCCCAGCAGCCCAGGGCCGTGGACTGTGGTGACTGAGGCAGCAATGCCAGCATCTGGGAGAGTTTGTCGTTTCAATCCCAGTCCTGCCTCTCTCCATCCTGCGGTGCCTCTGTGACCCTGTGTCCCCCGCTGATGAGCAAACCCGTACTCCACGGGAGCTTGAGTGCATCCACCAGGCAACACACTGGCCACTCCCCTAGGCAAGTGCCCTGTCCAGGATGTAGGTGTAAGGTGACGCCATCTTTGCCCCCAAAAATCTTGCCGCTCCTACACCCTGGGACTATTTGCATTCTCCCTTGTAGCTGAGTCTGGGTGCACTGGAGACCCTGATTCTCAAAAGTGGAGTTGGCCCAGGCTCACAGGCTCCGCATGCAGTGGGCTTGGATGCTGCTCTGCTTTGGTTCTGGTTTCTGCTCCTCGCCAGGACCCTGAGGCTGCGTCCCAAGGGGCTGCCTTGCTCCAGAGTCCCCAAGAAGCTGGTTAAATGCTCAGTCCTGGGGCCCTGGAACCTGCTCTTTAACCCCCTCGCTCCCCAGTCATTCTGTGCGTGCTGTCTCAGTCAGCTCAACTCCGCCATAACAAATCCTATAGACTGGGTGCTTTATCAGGACACAGTCACGTCTCCCAGTTCCAGAGGCTGGATGTCCCAGATCAAGGCGACAGCAGATTGGTGTCCTGGCTGGAGAGGGCTGCCTCTGGCTGTGTACTCTTGCGGCTAAGAGGGAGAGCCCTGGTGTCTCCTCCTGCCCTTATCAGGGCTCGGATGCCATGACGGGAACCCACCCTCATGATCTGCTCCAACCCTGACTGACTCCAAATACCGACAGATGCCGAGGGCTTCAGCACAGGAATGCTGGGGACGCACACATCCCACTCATACTACTGAGTTCACCTGTCAACACTGTAACACTGAGTAGAGTTCACCTGTCAAAACTGTAACACTATAACACTCGAGCGGCAGTCAGAGGCCCCCCGGTGACTTGTGTTAATGATTGATCCTGGGGGCGTGTCCTGTCCATGTGGGGGAGAACAGGACCGGGACAAATGGCAGGACAGATATGGGGAGGACAGGGGCCGCGTGTTGGGACTAGATGGGCTTGGGATGAAGGGTGGGCTTATGGAGTGGGACTGACTGCACCGCCTTACAGCCCAGTTCTCAGATCCCTGTCCCAGCGGAAGCCCAGCATGACCCTGGAGGAGGGACTGTTGTGGGCGATGCAGGAATGGCAGCACACGAGCAACTTTGACCGGATGATCTACTACGAGATGGCGGGAAAGTGAGTCTTGGGTGCATGGGCAGAGCCCCCATGGCAGGGTGAGAGAGGGTGACAGAGGCGCGGTGGCCATGATGGCTTCTCAGCGTGGAGCATGAGGAGGGTGTGGACAAACAGGCCCTCCAGGGCCGCTGGCTCCCTCAGGAAGCTGTTCCTCCCTCCTAGAGTGCTCTGGGGTCTCTATCCTGCCCTCGTGGGAAGCTCTGCATTGCCAGCATCCCAGCCCAAAGGTGGTCACCTCTAGCTGTGGGGATGGGGAGAAGGGGCGCTGGCGACTATAGACAGAGTGGGGTGCACTCTCCTCACAGCAGTGGCCAGAAGTCGGTTTTCACCCATCCCGGCCTGGCCAGGATTGGAGAAACCTGTGTTGGGTCAGGGGAGACCTGCGTCCAGGACACCATGAGACCCATCTCTGGCCTGCCTGCCTTTGCTCCTGGGCAATACCCTCTGTTAAGACAGACCAGCAGCCTCAGGGGAAACGGGCCCTGTTTTTGGGCCCAGCTTTTGCTTCCTCCCGACCAGGGATCTCCCACGCCTGGTGCTCCTGGGTTATCCTATAGGGACCCACAGTCCCAACCTCAGGACTCCGGCATCTGGGCAACATCCCTGACACCTTCTGCCATAAACCCCACCACTGGCCAGCTGAAGCCTGGAGGAGGGGTCCCGCTGGTGCCCTCCTTGGCCTCATGGCCCTGATTTGAGTCAGGAAGCCTTGCTGATGCCATGGCTCTGCAGGGGCCTGATGAGGGACGGAGAGCCCAGAACTCTGGGAGCAGCTCCCTCTGGGACTGGGGGATGGGCCCCAGGGAGGGCCTGGACAACCTGCCCAAGGCACTCCTTCCCATCGCTGCCATCGGCTGCTGCCTGATCCTGGGGGCAGGGGGCCTGGACCCTCTCAGCACGGCCTGCACCTTCTTCACCCCAGGTTCTTGGAGTTTGAGGCTGAGGAGGAGATGCAGATTCAGAAGTCGCAGTGGATGAAGGGGCCCCAGTGCCTGCCTCCTCCAGCCCCGCCGAGGCTTGAGCCTCGAAGACCATCAGCCCCTGAGGTGGTGAAGCTGCCAGGTACGCTTCCCACATTTCCACAGGAGCCACCACAAAGGCCAGAGGGGCCAAGGGAGGCCACTGTCCCCACACCCCATGCCTCCCTTCAAGAGAGGGATTTGTTCCTTCCAACAAGACAGCTCAGGGGAGCCGGGGGGCTGGGTGTCCCGTGGTCATGAAGTGGGTATTCACCTGGTCACATTTCCTACCTACTCCCTCCACTCGCCATTCCAAAACTCAACAATCTGCCCAGGAACAGGGATGAGTGGGCAGAGTACTCAGCAGATCAGTGACTCGAAAATTCCTCCAAAATGATGCTATCTCACATGTGCCCCCCTGCGGCGTCTCCTCTGGGGTGCTGTGGTTCAGGTGGTCCTGACCCAGCTGGGACCCCCTTCACGTCCCCGAGCCCTGCCCTCCCGTGTGGTGCAGGCAGGAGGAGCAGCCCTTACCAAGTCTGTCCTCCTCCCTCCCTACCTCAGTGTACCTTCCCAGCAAGGCCTGCCCCAAGGCCCCGCCTGCCTGCCTGCCACCACCCAGGCCCCAGCAACCAGCGGAGACCAAGGCCCCCGAGGAGATACCCCCTGAAGTGGTGCAGGAGTATGTGGACATCATGGAGGACCTGCTGGGGCCTCCCACTGGGGCCACAGGAGAGCTAAAGGCAAAATGGGAAGAGGGCGAAGTGGAGCAGGAAGGGGACGGGATGCTTCTAGACCCAGGCGTCCTGAGCTACGCTGACAATCTGTGTTCCCAGGAAGACTTCGTCACCAAGGTGGGCTGGCCTGAAGTGCTGGGGTCTGCAGAATTCCAGGGGGTGACACTCGCAGGTCCCTGGAATTAAGCTCTGTTCCTTAGCTACTCCAAAGTGGGTGGTTTCACGTGTTTCCATGGATTTGAGTGTCTGTGTATGTGACTGTGTGTCTGTGTGTTTGTCTCTGTGATTTGTTACTACGTATCTGTGTGGCTGAGTGTGGCGTGTGTATATTACTGTGTCTGTGTATTTTCCTGTGTCGTATGTGAGTGTGTGTGGTTTGTGTGTCTCTGTCTGCATGTATGGATGCTACCAGGTTTGTGTGTGGAGCTGGTGGTTGCCATGGTATAAGACAGCTCCAGAAGGGTGGGGACGGGGCGCTCGCTGCTTTCTGCATCTTCTCTAGGTGTCCTTGGCTCCAGGTTACTCTCTGCCCGGGAACCTCACGCTGTCTTCCTTCTGTTTCCAGGTGGAGGCCGTCATCCACCCCCGATTTCTGGAAGAATTGCTTTCCCCAGATCCACACATGGATTTCTTGGCCCTAAGCCAGGAACTGGAGCAGGAGGAAGGACTCACCCTTGCCCAGGTAGAGCAGGGAGGGTAGGGAACCCAGGTACCCTGGGGGCGGGAGGAACCCGGCACACAAGCCCCAACTGATTGTCTACCCCACCCTGTGGGGATGCTCAGCTTCTTGGGGAGTCACTCCGAGGTGGGGAGGTGCAGGTTCAGATGGAGCAGGATGGAGAGGAGCCAGGGAGGAGAATCAGGATGCAAACTGCAGTGAGGCCCAGCGGGATGCCCGGCAGAGCCACACCCTCTCTTTGACAGGAAGCCCAGCTGCCTCAGGCTTCCCTGCCTGCCGCCCAAGTGCCCTGGTCTCTGCCACCCTGGGCCCTGCTCACACTTGGGGCAGCGCCAGTCAGTGCCCCCTTTCTCCCGCAGGTAGTGGAGAAGCGCCGCCTATCCTTGAAGGAGGAACGGTGTGCGAGGGCAGACCCTAGTCATGGCACTGCCCGGTTGGACTCAATCTCTTCTAAGTCTGCAGCGGGCCAAGGAGCAGAGAGAGATGTCCCTGGCCCCCAAAAAGGGGTCAGCATGGAAACCTGCCCACCCCAGACGGTTGCCCAGGACCCTCAGGGACGAGGCAGAGCATGCACTGGCATGGCCAGGTCCAAAAACCCGGTTGTGCTTTTGGAGAGGCTGGATTCCCGCAGGCTGAGGGCTGCCCGGCCATACTCTCCTCCCCAGGACCACAGACCCACCCCCCAGACGGCCTCCCGGGACCCTCGGGGAAGAAGCAGAGTGTGCACTGGGGTGGCCAGGTCCAAAACCCCTGTTGTGCTTTTGGAGAGGCTGGATTCCCGCTGGCTGAGGGCTGCCCGGCCATACTCTCTTCACCAGGGCCACAGACCCAACTGCCCAGGCATGGGGACCAAAGACACCTGGGGTCTCCCTGGAGCCTCTCCTGTCAAGGAGTCACAAAGGCTGTCTAAGGGGTCAAGTGAGGAGGAGAGGGAAATCCCTGGTATGGTTTCTGTCGTGGGTACCAACTACAGGCTGCGGCCCTGGAAGCTGTCCCAGAGCCCTGTCCCTGCCTCAGCCCTTCTCAGCCCAGAAGGGTGGGGACCCCAGGGAGCTCCTCAGTCCCAATCTGCAAAGAGAAGAGGCCTCAGCCCAGCACCCGCTCCTGCCACCAAGTCCAGGAAGCGAGCTCTCTTCGGAGGCCCATCCCCTGCTGAACAAACGCCCCACCTAGGGCCTGGGCTCAGAGTCTCTGGGGCGCAATCCCTGGCTTGGGGGCTGGGTGGCCCCTCACAGTCTCAAAAAAGAAAGGGTGACCCCTTGGTCTCTAAGAGGAAGAAAAAGCGGCATTATAGAAAGTAGGGGCCACAGGGCAGGATCTCTGGTGCCAGTGCCCAAGGGTGGAGCTCTCAACTCTTGGACCCTCACAGCACCAGGCAACCCAAAGCAAAGACTTCTCCCCGACTGCTGATCTTGCTGTACCCCAGCTTTGGAGGGTGGGAGAGGGAAGGGAGAAAGAGGGTGGGGGAAGAAGGGGAGAAAGAGGGTGGCTGAACGGGAAGGTAGGGCCTAGGGGTAGGGGTTAGGGATGAGAAGCAATGCCTTGGGGGTCTCAAGGTGTAAATATGAATAAATATTGTTGTGTTGAAAATGCTCTTGGGGCCTCTGTCCTCAGGGCTGTGCTGCTCAGTGGAGGGGGTCTGTGAGGGAAAGCAGAGGGACTGGGAGATGCCAGGCACTGGGGACCCACAGGGGCCAGCCCCACTCATTCCTCCAGGTGTAGGCTGCCCCTTCAGATGTTCCAGGAACTGACAGATGCGCAGGAAGCCCTGATCCCTCCCACCACCCACTCACAAGGCCCTGCCTGCATTAGTTACCAGCATCCCTGGAAAATCCTGGGAATGGAGAGAGCTGGCTGGCTCTTGTTCTTCCGAGTGGGAGCTGAGGAGAAGGCAGATGCCTGCAACATGGACACAGGGAGAGGTGGCCACTCCCACTTAACGCTCATCAGGAAGAGCTCGGGCCCTGGGCTGAGGAGAGATGTCGAGGCGTCCATCCACACGGGTGTGTGTGGGGAGCAGGGGAAATCCCTCTGTGGTTTCTGGGCAGGAAAGAGTCTTGTCCAACTGGCGGAAGCAGATGCTCCTTGCTGTGGCCACAGGGACTGGCCTCAGGGGCCCTGGGGGTCCTGCATGGAGCCCCCCACAGCTATGATTCCCTTCCCATATGATGACTGAACTCTTGTGTGGAATTGATGCAGACAGATTTACACTGGTATCTGAAAAAGTTCCCTCCCAATCCACCATCACCAATGGGTACAAGCATGGCTGGCCTGCCAGGCGCAGGGTGGGTGTGTCTGCTGGTCCCAGGGCCGGGGATAGCTGGGACCCAGGCCGAGAGGTGTCGAGGGTCTGCCACCCTTCTGCCAGGCACAGACCCCAAGGGCAGAGCAGGGGCTGCCTGGATGTGGCACTGGCTGTCTGGGAAGTGCCCTGGGAGTCGGGGGCCTGGTGTTTGCTGAAGGGAGACTTCCGGAGTCTAAGAGTGAGATGAGGACTGCACCAGGAGACGGACTGAGGCTGGGGAGGACCCTCTGCTCTTTCCCACACTGTCCTGTCCTCCCCATCTCTGCTGAACTCCCCTCACCCCATGTGGCCGACCTCTACCCCCTTACCCCTAACCCACCTCTCTGAATCTCAGATCCCAGCATAGACAGGACCCGGCACCCGCCCCGGTTCCCTCCTGGCCAACACCTTCTTCACTGTCGGAGTTCCGATTCCTCCCCAGGGCCCTTGTTGGCTCAGGACCAGGGTGACTGCCAGAGCACTGGTCCCAGCACTCCCTGTATGCAGAGCTGTGGTCATGATGCTGGGAGCTGGCCCAGCAGCAGAGGCTGGTGGGGCACAGCTATCCGTCACACGGTGGTCTGGTCCCTCTGCCGAGTGACAAAGGGAGCCATGTTTGAGTCCTCTCCAGCCCTATCCACCCAGAGAACACACCAGTCAGCTGGACAGATGCCCCTCTGCCCCATCCCTTCTGCTCCATGTGGGCAGTGTCAGATCCTGCTCTCTGTGGACTTTGCCACTCTACAAGTGCAAACAACTGACAACCACTATATAAAGTTAATATCTGAAAAGTCTGCTCCAATGATACTTAAGCATATAATGTAACCAAACAAGTGTAACTGAATTTTAACCTAATGTGTTCAGAGTATAAGCTTTCATTATGTAAAAATAAGGAAAAAAAAATCCCTCAAACATATGGAAATTGAAGTGCATCGTCTAAATAGCTTATGAGTTAAAAAGAAAAATCTCGGGAAAAATTAAAAATAATACAGACCTAAATAAAAATAAAACATGTAAAATGTGGTGAGACACAGATAAAATATTGCTAAGAGGCAAATAATCAGCACTAGATGCATATATTAGAAAAAAAAAGTCTCCTATCATTTAAGTTTTCACATAAAGACACCAGAAAAAGAGCAAAATAAAATCAGAGTATGCAGAGGACAGGAAATAATAGAAGAATAAATCAATAAAACTGAAAAGAGAAAATCAATACAATCAAAAAAAGTTTTTTTTTTCTTTGAGACAATCTTGCCATGCCCAGGCTGGAGTGCAATGGTGCAATCTCGGCTCACTGTAACCTCCCCATTCTGGATTCAAGCCATTCTCCTGCCTCAGCCTCCTAAGTAGCTGGGATTACAGGCATACACCACCATGCCCAGCTAATTTTTTTACTTTTAGTAGAGGTGGAGTTTCACCATATTGGCCTGACTGGTTTTGAACTCCTGACCTCAGGTGATCCACCCATATTGGTCTCCCAAAGTGCTGGGATTACTGGGGATGAGCCACCTCACCTGGCCCCCCAAAAGGATTTTTATCAGGAATACATAGAGAGTTCTTATAACTCAGTGACAACACACACCAGTTAAAAATGAGTAAATGTCAAGTGCCCATTGCTTCACAGAAGATATACAAATGACCAATAAGTATGTGAAAGAGGTTCAACGCCAGGAAAGCACAAATGAAAACTATGATGAGACGGGACTTCAGAATCACTGGGATGACTTTGTCAAAAAGAGAGATGATAAACGGCTGGAATATGGAGAAAAACTGAGACCCTCACACAGCTAGCGGGTATATAAAATGGTATTTATTTACTCTGGAAATAGTCTGGTACCTTCTGCAGTTATTAAACATAGAGTTTCCATACGGCCCATCAATTTCACTCTTAGGTATATAGCTACGAGAAATGAAAACATACATCCCCACAAAACATTGTATACAGATATCTTAGAAGTGTTATTCACAATAGCCAAAAAGTAAAAACAACCCAAATATTCATCACCTGATATATAAATAAGTTTCAGGATATCCACCAATGGAATATTATTCAGCAACAGAAAGATTTGATGTAATGGTAGGCACTAAAAACCTGGATGAACCTTTGAAATATTCGAAGTAAAATACGACAAGTTGTGAAAGACATATATTGTATGATTCCATTTATATGAAAGTCCAGAGTATGTAAGAGCTATTAGAAGTACATTCATGGTTACGTAGGCCTAGGGTGTAGATGAGGAGACAGCTAAACGACTAAGTTTAGTTTTTTTTGTTTGTTTGTTTTTTGGAAACAGAGTCTCACTCTGCCGCCAGGTGCTAGGCTGGAGTGCAGTGGCACAATCTTGGCTCACTGCAACCTCTGCCTCTGGGGTTCAAGCAATTCTCCTGCCTCAGCCTCTCCTGTGGCTGGGATCACATGTGTGCCATCACACCCAGCTGGTTTTTGTATTTTTAGTCGAGAAGGGGTTTTGCCATGTTGGCCAGGCTAGTCTTGAGTTCAGCTCAAGTGATCCACCCAGCTTGGCCTCCAAATTGTTGGGATTACAGACAGGAGCCACCGAGCCCAACCAAGGTTTTGGTTTGTTTGTTTGTTTTTTGAGACCAAGCTTTGCTCTTGTTGCCCAGGCTGGAGTGCAGTGGCGAGATCTCAGCTCACTGCAACCTTTGCCTCCCAGGTTCGAGCGATTCTCCTCAGCCTCTCAAGTAGCTGGGATTACAGGCACCCGCCACCATACCCAGCTAATTTTCTGTATTTTTAGTAGAGACGGGGTTTCACCATGTTGGCCAGGCTGGTCATGAACTCCTGACCTCAGGTGACTGAGCTGCCTCAGCCTCCCAAAGTGCTAGGATTACAGGAGTGAACCACCATGCCCAACCAAGGGTTTCTTTTTGAGGCGATAAAAATGTTCTAAAGTTTACCAAGGTGATGCTTGCAAATTCTGTAAGTAGACTTAATGCAGTGATGGCTGCGAATTCCATAAATAAATTTAATGTGGTGATGGTTGCAAATTCTATGTAAAACACAAATTGTACAATTTCAGTGAGTGAAAGCATGCTATGTGAATGTCTTAATAAAGCTTTTATTTAAAAAATGAGCAAGCAGTAGAATGCTAACATGGCCACATCTACATGGTGGGTATGTTGGTTTCTATCATATTTTCCTATGTGGTTTCTATTATATTTTCTATGTGACCTGGGTGCGTGAGTAGGGAGGCCAAGCTCACTGAGAGCCTCAGCACACCCCTAACACCTGCTGTGGGCAAGCTGCCTGGCTTCCCTGAGCATGGATGTGATGACGTCACGGGTGTTTGCAGATTCCCTTTCACTGTGTCCCACAGCACTCCTGGTTCACGTGTGATAGGCTGCACTTGAGGTTGAGGTGTGCTGACTGCTGTAAAGGGCTGACTGAGCCTTTCTTCATTCTCTCCCATGGCTCTGATGCATGGTTTCCAGATACCACTGAGGAAGGAAGTTCCTGAGATGATAGACCTTGTGCTAGTCACATAAGGCTGCTAGGATAAAGTGTCATAGACTTGGGGGATGGACAGGATATGTATTAAGAAATGTATCTGTCACAGTCTTGGGGCTGGAAGTCCAAGGTTAGCGTCCCAGTGTGGTGAGGGTCTGGTGAGGGCTCTCTTCCTGGCTTGCAGATGGCTGCCTTCTCACTGTGTCCTCCTGTTGGGGAGAGAGAGCTCTGGGGTCTCTGCTTCTTACCAGGGCCCTAATCCCAACATTAGAGCCCCACTCTCATGGTCTCATCTAACCCTGACGAACTCCCAAAGGCCCCATCTCCAAATACCATCGTCTATCCTGGATTAGGGCTTCAACACAGGAATTGGGAGGCTGAGGCGGGTGGATTGCCTGAGATCAGGAGTTGTGAGACCAGCCTGGCCAATGTAGTGAAACCCCATGTTTACAAATAATACAGAAAAATTAGCTGGGTGGGATGGTGGCCTCCCAAAGTGCTGGGATTACAGGCATGAGCCACCACACACAGCTTAAAATTGTTTTTTAAATACAATCAGTAAGTTCACAATCTTCTGATGCTAAAATAATAGAGGAGATTCAAATTAAGAATGCTAGCATTGCTGGGCGCGGTGGCTCACGCCTGTAATCCCAGCACTTTGGGAGGCCGAGGTGGGTGGATCACGAGGTCAAGAGATTGAGACCATCCTGGTCAACATGGTGAAACCCCGTCTCTA